GAGGCAGGGTACTTGGATTTCTTGAACTGAGAAATATCCAGAGGCAGCCAATTTCACCTGTATTATTACTCTGTTTTTTGTCATTAGTTATCTGCCCTTTACACAATACACTGAGTAAAAGGAATTAGACCTACACTGTTCAACCTCTTGCTACAATCCTTTAATTCATAAAAACGGGGTTTTGCTAGAGTTATTTAAGATAGTACAAGATAAGCAGGCTGACTAGCTAATGGAGAAAAGGGTAAAAGATATTAGTTATTTATGATAGCTTACTTTCATTTTCCATTCTTCTGGTTTTTTAGTACTAATTTTCACTTTTTTAGCTAACTTTAAATACTCTGTTTTGATATATGGAGTAGATGCTTCATTGTAGCAGATTGTTTGTCTTTTCCATTAATGCCTGAATGCTTGTTGCTTAAGCTTACATAGCTAACCATGGTTAGGAAGATAAGATTTAGGATCCTTCATTTTCGCCCAGAATGAGGGAATGTGTAACTGAGGAGATAAACCTGCAGTTGACTAGTGCAGGATTCTTCCTGAAAGTTGAGGGAGAAGGTTTTACTTATTTTAAAGACCTGGTATGAGGTGCAATACTCCAATTTTGAAAGTTTGCACACGTCTGCTATCAGAGTAGATTCAGTTCGAGTAATTCAGAGGCCTCTACCTTTTTCTCCGTGGCTGCATTATCAACATTGCCTGAAGCAGTTCTGTGAGTTAGTCCTGGAGGCACCAAATCCTCATAGTCCAATGTGGTAAACTGAAATTGGAACTCATTTGGCTTTGGATTCACCTGCTGTTCAGCTATTTCTGCTGCTGGTCTGAGAGCTTTTGGGTAGTACTTGTAGGCTTGACTTTCAGACGAGCATATTTAAGCTATCACGAATGTTAACTGTTCTAACAAGTTTTATATTGTCTTAACAGCCTTAAAGAGTTGCTGAGAGCCAAGTTAATTGAATGTGGTTGGAAGGATCAGTTGAAGGCACATTGCAAAGGTAACAGTGGTCAATTAATTAGTTTCCTTTGTAGTCAGCTGAGATTCTGGCCAAATAAAAGTCCCAGATGAAGGCTTTACTGACAATTTAAACAACACCTTGGCAACTTGACATTTAAGTTTAAACATGCTATTGAATTCAGATTACTTCTCAGCTTTGACATCTGCATTTTTCAGTAGTGTGCAAGGCACTATAAGTAAACAGTTGTTTCAATACTGATGTGTGTTAATAGTAGCCTTTATTTTGCTATAGATTTATTCCTTTCTCTCTGACATAATTTCTGACTTGGCTGATGTACAGAAATCTTGTTTAAACCAATTACAGTCTGTGCTCTTCCATATTGCATGTTTCAAAGGGTTTTTTCAGTTGCACCTTTCCTACTACTGTGGAAATAATGTTTTAAGAGATTAGTGAGCCAACTTGTGAACTGCTCCAACATTCCAGTAACAGCCACATCTGGTAATGCTCGGATGAGATAAAACATTTTAATGTTTGTTTTTAAAAGATGAGCTGATCAAGATGCATCAGCAGTGACAAGTTCCCATCCTTAAATCTATTGCTTGAGTGAGATACTAAAATCCACTGTACAATGCAGCAGGTACCGAGCTAATAACCTATATTTAGGTCCCATGCTACTTCATATTCTCCCGTGATGATGTAGGCAGGTTTTGTTGTCTTATGAATGGATTAAAAGACTTAAAGTATTGGTCTTGGTCTTCCCCAGATGTCATTAAAGAAAAAGGATTAGAGCATGTTACTGTTGATGATTTGGTGGCAGAAATCACTCCCAAAGGCAGAGGTAAGAAAATACAAATGTAGATGGAGTAGCACATCAGTAAACATACGTAGCTCTATTTCATTAATGTTTTGAAAGCAGCATCATGAGCTTGCCTATGTAGGATTCAAGGAAAAATGTTAATAGCTTGATAAATAAAATGTTGATAGCTTAATATTAACAACAAATGAAACATGTAAATTTGTATTGCGTATCAGCCTTCAGATTGCTTTTGCAGATTACATCATTTAGTCATGCCTATGTTCATTTTTATAATTGACTTAATAGTCCTGAGTATGCAACACAGATGTTTTAAAATTCTAAATATTTAAGATGGAAAATCAGAACTAACCATTCTAGTGGAATGGGAAAGTAAAGGACATAGCATACACATACCAAAAAAATGAAATCATGTAAGGAAACTGCAGTTGTCTTTATATTGTTCCTCTCGGGCTCTCTAGCAGGGATTGATGTTAGTGATAGAAACTTCATTAAGTTCTAAATAAAAATAGGCCTTCAAAATAGATTGCTCAATACCTTTACTCAGAGGCTAGGGTTGAGATTTTTTTTGGTCTTAAATTTGTGAAGAAAAAAGGTAAGATAATCACACTTGTTCTGGTATTATATCCTGTTTCCCATTGAATAATCCTTTTCCTCAGACTTTCCAAGTCCATTCTGGACTAGGAATAGGCAAAAAAACCAGAGCAATAACAACATTGTTCTCAACAGATCTCAATTTTAGCCTATTTTAAATGGGAAAAATATAGATGTGCTATATGAAAATCAAGTAGTTTCAGTTACTTTAGGTATTAACAGAATTGCAAGAACAATAAAAGGAATAGAAATGGCTATTGTAAAAGTATGGTTTTAGCTTTTTATTTTGACTTTTTTTACTTCTTGCTGTCTTATTTGTGTTTCAGCTTTGGTACCAGACAGTGTAAAGAAAGAACTGTTGCAAAGAATAAGAACCTTTCTTGCTCAGCATGCCAGTCTTTAACTTTGACATTCATCTGGGATACAGTTTCCTGTATTACATCGATCCTGTCAGGATTGGAATGCAGTTTACATACTTAAGGATGAAAAATCATTGCATTTTCTTTGCACTGCATTGATTGCTTAAACTTGGTGTTATTTTAATAAAAAATTTTGTGGACTCATGGTTCTAAGGTGGTTCTCTCTCTCAGTGTACTGTAATGTGGTGTCACCTGGTCCAGTTTTTAATAGTCTATAACTTTTTACAGTTATGGAACCTTGCAAAGATTTTCAGAAAAGAAGCACTATAACAAGTTGACCAGAAATGCAGAGCAGTGTAAAAGTGTGGAAAATGGGATACTGCTGAGCATAGCCTTTCTGATTTTCCCAGAGTAAGCAGGAGAAAGTTAAGACTACGTGAAACTGTTGGTGAAATTCCTTTTGTACTTATTTTCTAAAGAATGAGTTGTTTGAAGTGTCTGACATGGGTTGCAAGTATTTACTCAGCAATTCATAAGAACCTAAATTCTTCAAGAAAAAGGCAGTTATATCTTTCATAAGCAATTCTTTACACATTTACTTTGAGTCGCTATTCTAGTTCTGAACAACTACTGTTTTCTAGCCTTGCCCATATTACTGATATTTTTTTTATGTGGATCTTTGGGGCCTTTTGAAATTGAAGTATAGTTCAGTAATTTGCCACTGAAAGTCTTCTAATATGATGCATTTTTAATTCTTGTATCTAGAAGCTTAACATCAGCCAGGTCTATACATAGCTGCAAAAATAAATTTTATGAATAGAGAGGATCAAAAAAGAGACTTTGAAGTGAGAATGTTTAATTTTTCCCATCTTCTATTTGTGGAGGAGAAGCACAAGCAGAAACTGAATGAGCAATCGGATACTGTTGTGATGCGGTGGCTATCGTGAAAAATTACTGACTTAACATAATAGTCATACTCCTAATTAGAAGAATTATGTAAAAACTGTCACTTAGAAAGTCATTCCTGTGCCAGTGGGTTGTGCGGTTCCATCACTGCTGCGAGCTCGCAGCTGAGGAGCCGCTCGGGGGCAGCCGCTCCCGTTCCTTCCCAGCCCTTGGGCTGCGGGAGAACCGCGGCTCTGTGCATGGAGCACATGGGGAGGGCGGTGAGCGCTCCCATTGCTCTCCAGCCTCTTGGGCTGCGGGACAGGAGCCGCGGCGCTGGGCACAAAGCACACTGAGTGATCCCCTCGCTGGGAACGCTGCTCTCAGCCCGAGCATCACCTGCGCGGGGCTGGCAGAGCCTCAGTGGCAGTGCCGGGCTGAGAGCGCTCCAGTGCCTGCTCAGACCGGGGAACAGGTCTGAGAGAGGTCTGGCAGCAGCCAAAGATGAAGTTTGGCAGTAGACAGGAGTTGGTATAAATAAGGTAGTATCAGCATCAACGGGATAAGATGTCATGAATATCTTTTGTCTTCAAAGACCAAGTTCCTGCTAATACTGAAACAATGCTGGAGCCAGGATCGTGGATCTGCTGCAGATATTCCTCCTGAGAGCCTTGCCTGTGCTGTTTTAAATCTACCTTCATGTCAGTTTGAGCATATTTGCTGTATGTCATTCCCTCTATGCTGTTAAATAATGGTGGAGGTCGGAAAGTAGACAATTCTTTCACTTAAAGATCCACCTTCCTTTTTTAAAATGTGTTGTTGCATTCAGTATGTATCATGGATTAAACCCGGCTGGCAACTCAGCCCCACACAGCTACTCACTGACTCCCCTCAGCACCCAATGGGATGAGGAAGAGAATCAGAAGCATAAAAGTTAGAAAACTCATAGGTTGAAATAAAGATAGTTTAATAGGTAAGGCAAAAGCCATGCACACAAACATAGCAAAACAAGGAATTCATTTACCACTTCCCATCAGCAGGTAGGTATTCAGATACCTTCAGGAAAGCAGGGCTCCATCCTGCTTAAGTTACTATGAAAGACAAATGTGATCACTCCAAGTATCCCCCCCTTTGCTTCTCCCTCCAGCTTTATGTGCTGGCCCCCAGTTGGGGTCAGCTGTTTTGGATGGGTCCTCTCCCCACTCCTTATGCATCCCCAGTCCCCTCACTGGGGTGAGGTGAGAAGGAGAAAAGGCCTTGATGGTGTGTAAGAACCTCTCAGCAATAATGAAAACACCCCTATCTTAACACCATTTTGAGCACATATTGAAAACAGCCCTGTAATAGCTACTATGAAGAATATTAACTCCATCCCAGCCAAACCAGCACAGTATGTTAATTCAGTGTTTGTAACTTTATTTGCTGTTCTATTTGAATTGCATACACATATAATTATTTTAAGTTTTTCATTTCAGACTTGATATACTCAATGCTAGTACTTGTTGGAGTACATGATGTTTCTTCACACAGTCTAGCAGAATACATGCTACCTGAGCTTGTTTTACATATGTCAAAGCTGTAAAATACCATCAGTAGTCTTAACCTTTCATTATTAGAGGTCTTTGCTAATGTTCTTCAGTATTTTGCATGACTTTAAAAGTCTTTGCTTAATGAATGGCTGCAGCATGTCATGGGCACACAATTAACTTGCTCCAGAGCTACCAGCTTACTTCCTTCACATTTGTGGGAGAGGGCCAGATTGAAGGCATTCATATACTGAACTGTGGAAGACTTGTCTCATCTGTAAACATTTGCAGTTCCACCTGGAACATGACAGCTGAAGTGCAGTTGCTGTAAGTGCAATGTTGTCCTCTGCACTCAGCTCATACTTGGCACAGAAGACCAAACGTTATACAAATTTTCAGAAAATTGTGCTGACCAATCTGAAGCTAAAGGCTTGACAACAAGCTCTTTCACATGCTGCCAAAAATAAGCTATAAAGTTCTGCCCAGACTGGCTTAAAATGCAAGTGTTCAGAGACCAAGAAGGAAGAGGAGCGTGACTACATTCCAGAGATACACTAGTGGCTCCTGTCTCAGGGTACCACTGGCTGCTCTTTGATGTAAGCAGCCCAACACCACTTGTTCCCCATGTGAGTTCTGTTAATCACACCAGTGCAGCCTCCATTAAGTAGAGAGCAGATGAGCAGAGAGCATGTTGGACAACATATGCTGATCCAAATTAGACTGGAGTGTTCTGGTCAAAGGTATCTTGATGAATCTTCTAAGAATGAAATTAGATTTGCAGTTATACCAGCAATGAGAGATGGTTTTTTGTAGCCTCATATTTTTGTTTTAACTGCAGGTTTATTCTCAGATGCATGAGCTGGCTTGTTTTGCAAACTTTGACTGCACAGTCTCAGTTTCTACTCATTTGTTTATTCATTTAGGATTCAAAGCAAGCATTGTCCTGCTGAGGCTTTTTTTTCCACACACTGAAAAATACAATGATTTGCGTTTTCAAAGGTTCCATATCTCTAGCATACACAGACAGAGAGATGCATTAACTAATTTATTTTTTTTTTCAAAATTTCCACATTTTCAATGTCATGAAATGCACTGATTCCTCACAAAGGAAGACAGCACCCAGAACTAAACAGCTGTGAAGTGAGAATTCAGGCATGCTGTGAATTACCTCAACTGTGGGAATATATTTCTTTTACCTGACCCAGTGCATATACATTCCAGTAGCTGGTTCAGCTTCATCTTCTTGTAGATTAGTCTGCAAAAAATAAAATAGTTTGTAAACAGACATGGAAATAATGGGTTGGATAACACCTAGAGTAAATTGGTATAGCTCTGGATGTGCACTAATCCAAATTCCACATGACAGCAAATTGAATAGTTCTACTGCTGTCAATGAAAGGGCAATAGAAAAAAGTTAGCCTAACCTATGCCTTAGTCAGGCCCTGAGGGGTCTGAAATGCGCAATGAGCTGAAATTTGTTTAATTCTAATTTGTTTGATAATTATTCTCCCATAAAAACTTCTCTATATTGACATAGTCCAGTAAAAAAAAATGTTACAAACCAGTGACATCACCAATAATTTCTGCTGGGACGTCAAAATGATACATCTTAGATAGAATGATTTTGCCATCATAGGTTTTTCCAATTTTTTTTTTTGGGGGGGGGGGGATTATTTATCTTCATTTCTCCCTGTTCCTTCTTCACTCTTGTTAACTGCCATAATGTTTCAGTCTGGCCCTTTATCACTTGGGGAACAAGTACATCTGAAGTCTGTTTAAATCCAGGAAGATTCTATCAGTGCTATTACAAAATATTTTCTGCTTCTCATTTCTCTCTGGAGGGTCCTTTGAGGTGATAGCTCTGCACTATCTCATGTAATATATTTAATTGTAGCAACTGTGGCACCTTGTGAGTTTGCCTTTAACTTAGTGATTGAGTTTTCACTGGAGCAATGAAAAATACCCAGTGTTTCTACCTGCTGGGTCTCTTTGGCTTTATTTAAATTTCTAAGTATTTGCAATTTAAATCAGAGTTGTGTTCTACTTGGCCTATTTTACTCAGCTATTCATTTTCCAAAAAAGAAACAGCTGTGGCTGCAGAGCCAAATGTGTAATGACTGGAGCTCAAAATGAGGAAAAACAAATTCCTTTTCTCATAAATAATTTATATTTCACCACCTTAGTGTAATAAATAGGTTAATTGGTATTCTGATTGGAATAACAAAAGGCCTAATCTCACTTTAGTGTATTTCACATTTGCCATGATGCTTTCCATCTGAACAGTATTATTCTTAAAAATATTTTTTATGTTTAACTTTTAACTAGTGATATAGTAACAGATCATAAAAAATGTCCCTCTAATAAATCCCTGCTAATTTCTCTTTGTTGGAGTCACTAGGAAAGAGGTATCCATTGTTTCAATCACTGATCCCAAGGTAAGATATAACGTTGCTATTGATGAAATTTGTGTTTGGCAGTCTGTGCGTGAGCACTGACAAGGGCAGAGCAACCTGGCCTCTTCTGCAGCCTGGCTCTCATCCACTGTCTGTGTACAAAGTCAGCACAGTGCTGGGGTTTTGCATCTAGTGTTCAGGGCCAAAGCAACACAATTCCCTGGAAAGCAATGACACTGGAAATCATAGGGGAAAACTCAGCATCTGCTGCCACGGGTTCTTTGAATACATATGAGTAGAGATCAGCATAACATTGATCCTAGCTTTGCATGCTGCATTGGTGAGTCTCATGCTCAGCTTGCAGTTTTGAAAGAAAGTTGGAAAAATGGAGTACTGAAAGAGAAAAGGGAATTATTGAGGGCTAACACTGCTAGCTAAGCTTGAAAAGTCTTCCAGTGTTATTCTGTTGAAAAGAAAGCTGATACAAAATAAGGTTATGATGTGTCACAATCTTCTCAGGGAGAAAAAAGGAAACAAAGGAAACTTTAATAGGGAAAGGATTAAAGAGTACATGAAAATATAAGTCAGACAAATTCAAATTTAGAAGTATAACTCTTTAATCACTAGACCAAACAGCGAAGAAGTCTGGTGGATCCTTCATTTTTCAATGTTTTCCTGAGTACAACATGCCTTTAAGGAAGAACTGCTTTAGTTCAGAGTTAATCAAACTTTCTGGAAATACAGTACTCACCTATGCATGCTCCCTGGAGCTGACAGCAGTTGCTCAGTTTCTTCCAGAAACTGAGAAATGAAATCCAGAATATACATTTTCCACGAAGAGAAATGCTGCTTTAGTTGAACACAAGTGTAAGTTGTTAGCCCCAAACACAGGTGTAGCTGGGTGGAATGCATTGTCCTTGGAAACTGCAATGGAAGAGGCAGTAAAAGATAAGCATTACAAAATCCTTTTTTGTAACCTGGATTGAAAAATGCTCTAGCTAATCTGTTAACATTTTCACATGCATTTCATTCTGAGATAAGTTTGTGCTCAAACCCTGGATCAATTTGCTAATATTTGAGTTGTTCAGCTTGCATTTCAAAATCTGTTGATGCATATTTTGCAGGAGGAGTTTTATGAAACAGTCAATGGTCAGAAGAGGACCGCTCTTCCTTTGTCAAATAAAGATCAAAAAGAGTGTGATCTAAGCTTGGTTTCAGCCTACTGACTGCTGTAATTATAAATGTAACTTAAAATGCTTCCTCACTATCATAAAGTGAACAGGAAAACTTGATAAGCACAGAATCACAAAATAAGCTGAGTTGGAAGGGATCCACAAGAATCATCAAGTCAAAATCCTCGCCATGCACAGGCCCATCCCCAAGAACTACACCACGTGTCAGAGAATATGGTCCAAATCCTTCTTGAACTCTGTCAGATGCTGTGACCCCTCCCCTGGGGGGCTGTTCCAGTGCCCAGCCACACTCTGAGTGAAGAATCTTTTCCTGATATCCAACCTAAACCTCTCCTGACACAGCTTCAGGCCATTCCCTTGGGTCCTGCCACTGGTCACCACAGAGCAGTGATCAGTGTCTGCCCCTCCTCTTTCCCTCATATGAGGAAGTTGTATAACAAATGAAAAAAATGTATTTATTTTACTTTCTCATATCTTTTCTTTGATTGCTCTCTCCTTAAGACTGTATGTACATGAGGTTACACAGCTATATTTAAAATGAGCTGTCATTTTTTTCCCACATCAAAACTAGGATCTAGTTTCCCAGCCCAAATTTTACTGAGATAGTAAGGTTTGTCTGAAGTTGGCTTTGTTTTTAGACAAATTTTGGGAACACAACACTTCCAACAGCCAGTTGGTCTTGGCACACTGTGATGCCTAGAGAGGCTACCTGGAACAGAAGCTAGACAGGGTTAAAGGAATAAAGCAGGTATCTATTAAAAGGCCTTCAAAAGATACACCTTGGGCAGTACAAGAGCACAGTGATGGATCTACCCAAGATGGATGCAAGACAGACCCAAGATGGACCATGTGTCATGAGTTTTCAGACTTTGATAAGTTTTGGTCCATTTACACATTGGGGTTAATTGTTCAATTACAGCTTCAGGTTATGAAGTCTCATCCTCCCAGATTGCTCGCTGTTGTTTACACTTTTTGGCCCGAAGCTGTAACGGTGTCTTTGGTTCTCAGGCTGGAAAAGGATTGTTCTGTCCAACTAAACTGTGAAGAGAACTTGCTAACACTTGATATGAAGTTCAGAGTCACACACTAAGGCAGTACAGAATCTGAAAAATATAAAAGCTAAAACTTAAGGGATCATCTGGTCTTCAGATAAGAATGCAAGTTTTGAAGTTTTTGGGCTATAACATTATAGGTATTTTTTGTTGAACTGATTTGTTCTAAAATGGGAAAAGCAAGGACTCATTATTAATATTTTTCTATTAAGTTCTCTTCCTAACTTCAGAGTAATCCTGCTTGAAATAAGACCATTTCATCTGGAAAGGGCATGAATGAAAGGAACTTTCATTTTCTAAATTCATAGAGATTTCTATGAAATTTCAGCATAACAAATGCTGGAGTATGAAGAAACAAAGAACAGCTTCATTATTCTCTCCCCTCAAATACCAACCAACCAACTGCAACCAAAAACAACTTTTGGGAGAAAATCCTTTGCTTTCCTAAATACTTTTTCCAATAAAATTTAATGACGTTAAGTTTCCATGCTATGCCCTCTCCTGTTTTCTTCCAAATAGTACATTTGCAGGTATGCACACACAAACACATCCATATAAATAAATATTTTTATACAGCAACATGCTAGATACTCAAGTATTCAGAGGAATTGAATTCAAATGCTAACAGGGTGCCTAGGATCCAGTTTCTGATAACTTCAACTTAATGCTTTTCTTTTCCTTATAAGAACAAAAGACAGGCTGTGTAAGTCAAGAAAGATTGCTTAATGGCTGCATATGACAGGATGGAAGGAAGATTTTCTATTTAGTAATGAAGTAATAAATTAGCTGTATAAAATAAAAACAGATCCCATTATCCTCTCCCAAATTTTTAGTTGAGAAATATGAGTAATATTGCAGGGACAAGGAAAACTGGATTTTAGTACCATTCCTGCCATCTATTCTGCGTATTTACTCATCATATTAAATACAGAAACAGCAGAAGGAGCTGATGCTGTCAGCAGAGAGAACACAGGATAGTCTCTTCAGGAAATTACTTAGCACTAGGCTAAAATCACACACTCCTTATCACCTCTGAGTTCTTACAACACGGAAAAAAACAGTCTCCCTGTTTCAACCTGAGGTGGGTATTCCTCTAGGCTGACTGGGAATTCTGCCTCATAAAAGGTCCTGTCACCTGGCCAGGCTCCAGTGTGAAGGTCAGTGCCTCAGAGAGAGATTCCTAAAGGAAAAAGAACCCCGGAAACATCCTCAGGAGTGCAATGAAACTGCCTAGTCCAGCAGAAGACCAGATCTATACAGTTGTCTGAGCTCAGGGCCACCTAGGCAGTCACTGCTGCTCTTTGGCCTCTTTTGGCCACTGCTTCCAAAAAAGCTACTTGGAGTGTGCTCCATTTCAAAGTTACAAATATTCTTTTTATATATTATATGCTTGCTAAAAGTCAGTTTGTTGAATTTTCCAATAAAGGCCTCTTACCAAGATTACTGGTCTGGAATTTTCCTCTACAAGGTATATCGAGCCTGAGTGGGAATAAGGGAAGGAATTTAAGATACGCGGGCAGAAACAGAGGAGAGTACAGCTTCAGCCAGGAAGACCTTTAGAAGGAAAAGGGGCTTTTGTGACTGCTTGGCTACTTACTTGGATAGTATTTCAGAGGCTAGGATACACATCTGTCTGAACTTAAGCAAATTATTTAGATAATACTTAGCTATTACCCAAAATATATGCTCAGGAATACTACAAAGGAATGGAAAATGTATCTAACAATGGAACTGCCTCTTCTCATCTGGAGTTTCAAGATGTTTTAATGAATAAATTTGTAGCAGTAGTGTATAAAATTACTTCTGAATTACAGTAAAAAGCTGCAACTTTTCTGTGGTTAGAGCTATGAAAACTCTACTTTGACCAGAATCAAACACTCGTTGAAGGTAAAATTTATTTTGTAAAGTAAAACTTGAATTACTACAAAATGCATCAGGAGCATAATTGAGGAAAGGTACTCTTAGTTAAAAATCTATTTGTAGCTTTAATAAACCACTTGAGAGAACAAACAAATGAAGCACATACCCCACAGGAGGGAGAATTCATGTTTAAAGAGAGATTGTATCACTTTTATAGAGTGAGATTATAATTAGACATGAATGTATCAGGATAATGGAGCTATCAAACTTTGAAGTGATGGAAATTGCCACAGATGTAGAAGAAGTGACATTAGCACACTTGCAAATTGTCAGGTAATGTGGTTTAATATGTTTAAGTCTTAATATCTGTAAAAGATATCTAAAAAATATAGTTCTTTAACAAACGTGATTAGTTTACTGTAGCAGTACTGAATTCAATATAGCAATGAAATACCCAAGACTCCAGGAGATGTCTTTAGGAAAATTAACTAAGCCAAAGGAATCCAAGTTTAAAACTTCAGAGCTGAGGGTTAATGACATTTTTGAACAATGAAGTATTTTTCCCTGTGAACATTGCTTCTAGAAATTAAGATATGTTTATATTATTACTAATATTGAAACTGCATAATCATGTTTTTAGAGAAGACTTATTCTCCATTAGTGGTCAGCCAATTTCCAGCATTTTTTCATTAATGCAACAGCCACACACAGGTCTATTGTGCTTTAGGTCGATAGTGTGAGTGAGCCTTTCTGGCACTTTTTATATTAAGTGTAGATGTCTACATGCATATGTTAAAATCCTTCCTTCTCACTGTGGCATATTGCCTTCTGAATATCTAGAGTGTAATGCCAAAACCTGAAAGTGTTCTCAAGAGAAATATAACTGCCCTTTCCTAGTGTGTCACACTTGCAGTTTTACTTTTCTGTGTGAATGCAGATGAAGATTATCTCCCAGCTTCTGCTTTAGATAGTTACACTGAAAGGTAAATCTCTGCTATACAAATGGTTCTGAAATGGTTTTACAATTAAAACCAGCATTGCATATGGGTTTCTCTTATTGAAGGTGGGTTCTGCAGGCATAAGGGTATCAATCCTCACCTCAACAACAGCTTAGGAGTGCTGACCTTAAGCTTGGCCACAACCATGTCCTGACTTGCTTTGGACTCTGCTGATACTGGACCAGTGCAGCCTCACTGGCTTGTCCTCAGATTTGTTTCATCCCCAAAGCCTGCCTGGTAGTCTGGACTCTGAGCTGCCCCCAGTCACCCTGCTCGTGTCCTGGCTGGCAGGCTCCTTGCCCCATGGTCAGCTACATCATGCTTGTCTCCCTGTCCCTTTGGGGCCTGCTTCCTGATGAAGAGTTGTGGAAATGCAGTGGTGTCTGTTAGGACATGTGAAAAGGGAAATGAAGGAACTCTATCTGATACCAGTGCCTCCTCACAAGAGCCATCATCATCATCCATCTTCTCACTGCCTGACACACATAGGGAACACAGCAGCTAAGCAAATCCAGTGGCAGAACAGGAATTCTGTATGGGAAGGTATTAAAAGAGCACACAAAGAACTGAGTGCTATAGTTCGGAGTTGAGTGTTGTATTAGTGCTGCTCTAGAACTGACTAGATGTCAATGGGAGAAAAAGACAAACACCCCCTTTACCTCACTTACCGAGTGTAACACAACTGGAGGTTTACACCGAGCTCTGGAATGCCTTATATTAACATCGCTTAACCAGCCATTAAAATGGACAAGCAGTTGGTGAACAAACTGGGACACTGGGGCTGCACCTGTCAGAAGCAACTTCAGCAATGTT